CCCCGCGCCCCGCGCCCCGCAGAGCCACGCGCGCCAGAAACACCGAACCACACGCTCCGCCTGGAGCCCGGCAGCCAGGGACCTGCCCTCCGAGGCCCGGGCGCGCGGGGAGAGCGCGCAGGAGACCATCCCGGCGCGAGGGCAGCTGGTTCTAACGCGGCCTCGGCCTAAGGGCCACTTCCCCAGACACACACCCCAAACCCAAACCCAAGCCCCCCTGGGAACCCTGAAGGAGAAACGAGGTAGCTTACCTTCCGGCTCTAGGGTGGTGTCCTGCACCAGGCTGGCCGGCCGGGCCCGGGACAGGGTTGCCATGGCGACCACGGCCAGGCAGAGGAAGCGGCCCCAGCCGGCCATGGTCCCGCCGCGCGGGGCTCTTCCATACGCCCCCGTGGACGTCAATCCCATCTGCACGCTCCCCCGGCGCGCATGGGCCGCAGCCACGCCTCAGCCTGCGGGGGCTCGGCAGCCGGGGCTCCGCCGCCGCCTCTGGAGGGGAGAGAGTCGGGGGTCAGTGCGGGCCCCCCAAGGCCCGCTCAGCACCCCGAGCGCGCTCGCACGGCAGCCGGCTTCTCCGACGGTTCCCAAACAGCCTTTTTCCAGGGTCTGCAAATGCCAACCCTCCGGGCCTCGGCGTCCCCGGGGTCTCCGCCGGGCAGGCCCGGGAAGCGCGCGTGGGCAACGCATCCTCTCAGGGCGCAGAGCAGAGCGCGGCTGTGGGCAGCTCTGGGGGCCGCTTCTGCAGGCCCAGCGTGCGCCCTCGCCGCCCCGGGGAAGCGGGAGCCAGGTGACCTCCGCTTCAAGGGCAACCAGGAACGCCAGCGGGCAGGGCCCAGGTTGGCAGAACAAGCCTCCCGCACTTCTCCTAGGCCACGTGGGGCTGGAGCGCGGAGCCCCGGAGGCCCCCAGGGCGCAGACTTCTTTCTGCCGGGGGGGCCAGGCCGGCTGCTGAGGACAGACAGGATCCCAGGAAAGCGACCAGAAATTCCCGCGGGCTCACACTTGTCAAGGTTCATTTTCAAACGCAGGAGGCCGCAGCCTGTCACCGTCAGCCACCGAGGGGGCCTGAACCGACTGCCGGCACTCAGAGCAGCTGACCTGGGAAGAGGCTCGAGCCCGAGGCCCCTGCCCCGAGGCCCCTTCCACGGCCGCCGGCCCGCAGCGCCTTCCCTCTGCGCCGTGGGGGAAACGCGGGCCTGTGGCGCTGGGACGGACACCGGGAGCTTGCGGGTGGGGCACGTGTGCGAACGATGGTCACGCGTGACTGGGCCCACAACTTCCAGCATGCGCAGCTATTGGCTACAGTTCCAGAGCAGAAATTTTACAAGGGGGCGCTGGGCGTGCTCCCGGGCCCACCATTCCGTCCCAAGGCAACGGGAATTTTCCAGGCTTAAAATACTCAAAGGCCTTTACACTGGCTCAGTCTCCTCGGTTCCTAAGCGTAGAGCCGAACGCGCAGACTTTTGCAAATCTGATTAAAACAATCGGGTTCTGTGAACACGATGAATGAACCCCATTTTATAAGACCTGGGGGAGAGGGGGTGCGAGACCTTTAATATAAAAATCTCTTAAGCCCCACCCGTTCTGCGCGCCAACTTGATGTTTCAAATTAGGACAGAGGGTTTCGACACCACCTGGGCCTCCCCAAAGCTGCAGGAAAGAAACTGCTCCTTTTAGCCGTGACTAAAGGTTAAAGTTTTAGGGGAAGGAAAAGAGGGTGCTGCACCCTTCCCAGGAGCAAAAAAAAAAAAAAAAAAAAAA